ACCCTAGTAAATACTAGAGCATTCATGAAAGAACAAGATAGTTCTAGAAAATAGAGGGCGCCACACCAGTCACGTGACCTCGATGACGCAACAATATGGTATTTCCAAAAAATGTCTTTATCAAAAAAACAATGAAAGCGCATGAACAAACAAATCTAACAATCTGTTTTTTTGACAAGTGTTGAGAAGATTATATAAATTAGTAAACGTTTAAAGGTTTATCTGTTATCAAGTACGAAGCAACATAATAGGCTATCGGTACAGTGCTCATCACAAATATTAAGTGTTAGATTTGCAGCAAAATCATTAACACAAAAATTACTCTCAGTTTTTAACACGTACTAAATAAAAAAAAATGTTTCAATATAACTATATTGCGTAGAAATACTATTTTTTGTTTACATTTTTCACTGTTCAACACATAGTCGAAGGCTATATTTCAAACTGTTCTTTTTAATATTTATTTTTATGCTTATTTTGACATAAACTTCCTCGGGTGTAATAATGGATGAAATCTGGGTTTGTTAATCTGAAAATAAAATTTAAAACTCCAGGTGCAGAAATACATACATCGTGAAATTATTGAGATCACTAGCAATCGAGTTGAAACGTCTTTCGCTACGAAACTAAACAGAAACGCAGGTAACTCTTCTGAACAGACTGTCGTGCCACCATGAGAAACGCCTTTGTTAAATTAAAAGGTACCCAGCTACGACATTTACTTGGGCTAGTCATCATTGGCAATGATATTTAAAACTTTCATAATATACATTATTCCAGATGTTTAACTAACACAAAAGCGTAAAGAATGCATATGTAACCATTAGACTTTTGAGAAAATCCGAGTACGTTTCTTAGCTTCACAATATAAAATCTAGTTATGTGTAACTGACCAGTTAACTTAATTAAAGTGAACTGTCAAAGTATAGTTAGTAACCACTACTCAGTAAAACTGCAAAATTAATAATCAATAAGAAAGCTATTTTTTTAAATCGCCAAACTTCTCAATTATACTAAATTCTACGTTTTTAGATAGTGATACAAATTACCTTGTGGCCTGTCATAGGCCTACACGATATACATGGTCACATTCTAAATATTTTTTCGCACAATATGTACATAGTACGACATTTTGATTTATTTTCTTTCTGACTGTTAATTTGTTAGATAAAATTCATTGTTTGTTACATTACAATATACTTTATCACATCTTATTTAAGGATTTTTAATAAGGAGTATATAGACCGCACAATTTGAGTTTGAATTTGACTCTTGTTGCACGACGCTGCCAACAAGTTTTGTTTCCGAACAGTAAGCAGTCATTATAAACACCTATAGTATTATTCTAACATCTCAAATCACCTATTAAAAATCAAAGAAATTATTGCCTCTAAAACATTCTCTTCGAAACATATGACTTCATGAAATACCTTACCGTAATTATTACTCACCATTAAGGGACATGCTTATTCAACAAAATCACAGTTGAACTCAACTCGCTAACAGGACGTTTGTAGTCACCTTACAGGATGTTACAGAACTTACGGTAACTATGATATCACGTGACGCTTAGCAACAGAAAATGTACAGTGTTGTCACAGCACACGTGACGCATGCGTTCTGAGAACATGAATCGTCAAAAATCGTTAGTAATTGAGATTAAACGATATAAACTGCTCCTTTAAGATATTACACTTTTTAAAATTACAATGCTATTGCCCATATCTGTACTTGTTTTAAAATGTACCACATTTGTTACTATCTTCAATCTAATTTTTAGTTAAGGAAAAAAAAATTCAAAAAATCCTTAACTTTTCTGAAGTAGATGAAAGTGCAACACAAATACATATACACACCTAGTTAATACCACAGAAGTAGAACTTTGCTTGTTGTTAATCACATAGCTACAGCGAAACCCGATTTTTAGCATTAAAAGCTCTCAGACTTACCGCTGAGCCATTCGGGGAGGAATTAAAAAGGTAGGTGTTTTGTTAGATAATAAATAAATTGAAAAATAAAAGTCCGTCCGCCCCGCCCCCTCTCCCAGATCATAGGCTCGGGCCAACCATCTCTTTCCCCCACTTTGACGGCACTCCTACATTTGAAAAACACTGAATAATATTTAAGAAATTTGTTGTCTAACAATATTTTTCATTACCTAATAAAGGTTATAAAGCAAGTTATAGGCTGCAATCCGCATAACAATTAAAAACAAGAAACGACCTTCAACTGCAAAAAACATTTCATTTCGAGATACATATTTCACCAATGACGTATTTTAGAAGCTTACTGCATAATTTTACCCAAGAAAAATGTCAAGAATGAGAAAAACAGTTCGGTGATACAAAATCGTTTTATTGTGTTTAGGTACAATGTTGTGAGATATTAACACATTATTTCAGATGATTTAATTGAGAAAGGTTGGTGATTAATCGAAGAAATAAAACAATTAAGATTCATCACTTACTTTTATAAAATTTTTAAAATTAAACACAACACTGGATGCCTTCCTGAAGCATTTCAGGTAAGTAATTGCCAGCAATAGATGGACTCATTAACAGGCTGTCCAGTGCCTTATTCTGAGCTTGAACAGTCCAGTCCTTGATTCCACTGATCACCTGAATGCCCAAGCAAGTGATCTGCACTGTTTGCACAGGAAGGCATGCCCAGAAATGACCCTACATACTTATAAATAAATTCATTGAGGGATTCCCAGTGAATTTATGCACCAGCACCTGGGAGTGAAGGGCATCCTCACTCTCACAGAAGCCAAGCCCACCATGACATGCTTTGAGGTAGTGACTTTTATCCAGAGTATTTAATGAAGTGTAATGGCAGTATATGTATTGAATAAATAAGCATGTGTGGGCGGTAGTCTGCATGAGTAGAAACATTATATGGATTTCTGTACAGGTGTTATGAATACGTGAGCATAAAAGGAACAATCATATACAGATAATAACAATAAAGAGTAATAGAACAAGGAAATCAAAAGCAGTCAGAAATAGTTCAGAAAGAAAAAGGAACTTGAGCTCAATGCTAAGATCAGATTAAGCTAATGTTACTGGGACAAATGGACTGGGTTGTATTATTCTAAAATACAGTATACCTGTGATCCTCACAACTACCAACAAAATCTTTCAATTTCAATATTGAGACATCTGACAGATTTGTAAATTTTTCACGAATAGTTTAATACAGGTAAAGATTCACACAATGCTAGGAGAATGAAAGCACGTTTTCACTGGGGTTTTCAAGAACACAGTTTGACCTGTGGTTCTGACACAGTTTTATCTGGTGCTTCTCAAGAGCAGGGTGAAATGATATTTTAACTTTGATCAGGTTGCAATGTCTGTGAGTTAGTGAGATTGTCATTAAAATATGAAATTCACAGGTAATGCCTTAAATATAATAACAAAGGGATACAAATGATACACCTAATGTTTTATTTGGTTGTGAGAAGAATATCTTCACTGAGGCAGATAGAGATATTTTTAATAAGCAAATAGTTTTACTTAATAACTTCTTAACATTGTTCTCTTGCAAAACACAGTTTGTAGACATGAACATACTGCAAAACCCAGCAATTTGCACCAAAACTATTAGATGTTTTGTCAATGGATGAAAGTCCCCCCCCCCTAAAAATATACAGGAAATACATGGGTGTGGGCTAACAGTCAAAGGTGAGACTTGTGTGTCTAATCTGAGTCAGCTGAACAGTTTAGGGCCAGAGAGCCTTGATCTCCATTATCTCCTATGGAACTAGGCTCTGCCAGTAGAATAACCAGACAGTGGACAAGGAGAAGTTAGATTGGAGAGAATTTGGTGTGTGGGCACCAGTAGTTCAGCAAGAACGACACAGCCAAAGATAGCTGGTCAAATAGATGACTGTGGAAGTTGGAAATTTGCAAAGCTCCCCAGTTCCTCTTCTACATGGTTTGCATGTGAACACTTGTGAAGTTGTAGACGTATCATTCTATCAGCATATAGTTCACAACTGTAACCAGGTGTTATGACTCCTTTGAACCGACATACTTGGCTGGATCTTTGATCAATTGGAAGCCAGACAACCTTTATGTTCAAACTCGGACTTTTGGTATTTAAAATAAAACTTTCTCAGCCACTTTCTCTTTCTCTGATTAGCTGAAGTGCCAGACATGAAACATAATTCCTGTTCTCAACTGACAACAGTGCCAACAAGTTTATATGGTCCATGTCATGAATGAGAAGTTATCCACTTCCAAGGCTAGAAACAGTAGTTTCTGCTGTCATCATCAGGGCACCACTAGTAAGATATCAAAGGAGACAGTCCAGAGGCAGTCAATAGTAAATATTCCTAATAGGCCTCTAAAGGCTAACAAAGACTATCTCACCCTACAGTCAGTGAAGAATTAAGGGTGATTTGGGCCATGGGTAGTAGGAGAAGAAAAGCCCCCCAAATAATGATGACAATACTCGAATCTAGTTTTCCAAGTATATCAACGATTGAACAAGCTTCATTTCTGCATACAGATTTTCGGTTAACGTCATTTTCCAAGGGTATCAGCACTTCCCATATTTGGGGGGGGGGGGTAACCTTTCAAAAGGGCTGAAATAGCTTCATTTCTTGCCAACCACCGAATTTCATAAAGTTGTTTGACAACTCATAGTCCTAAAGGTTTCAGCTTGTGGCAAAGCATTTGCCAGTCATGTGTTGATGCAGAGAGAAATGTGTACAACATTTGTACTGTATAGAATCTTAAAACCCTAGGGTAACACACAGCACTGCTTTTTCCAACCAAGTTTAATAAATGAGCTACATACGATATATACCATATATATGGTGCATAACGGTTTCTGTCATAAATGATAGCTTGAACAATACTATTTTTTCCACTCATATTGGAAGCATTATCGTGTTGCCCAAATGTCACGATCTTCTACTCCATTACCACGTGCTAGGCGAATAGAATCACCCGTTTCTGAGTGCCTCAGTTGCCTCCCGAGGTTTCTAATAAACCAGGGGATATCTTAAATCGAAAAACAAGTTTTTATTGTTGTTGTGTGTGTCTCTATGTCTGTCTGTGTGTCGCGTAACTCCTCCTAAACCGCTGCCCGCACGGGCTTCTAAGTGGACCAAACGAATCGTTTTGGTCCCGAGGTTTGCACAAAGATAAAACTTTTCACCCCACCGCTTGTGGAACCCGGGGATTTCTCGAAAACTTCTTCTAAACTGCTGGACTCATCAAGTTCTAAATGGTGCCAAGTCTCGGGCCCGAGGTTTGCACAAAGGTAAAACTTTTCACCAATCTCTTAGGGAACCCGGGTATTTCGTAAAAACACTTTTATACTTAACTTGAGGAACAACTCATAAAGTTTTTTCTTGTCTTAGTATACTTTCACATGTGCACCCTTTGTTGCTCGAAGAATGTCTAGGCGATACTCTAATCTACCTCCAGGAGGCGCATTCCTTATTGCATCAATTATTCTGTGGCGAAGATCCACGATATCAAGCACAAGTATCGAATATATTTGATATTTGACACACACACACCCAACAAGAAAAATTCCAACGGGGTTATGTCAGGGGAACGTGGGGGGGGGGGCATCGTGTTGGTCCATCTCTACCAATCCATCTGTCTGGGAATGTGTTGTTCAGGAACTCCCGGACGTCGAGTCTCCAGGGTGGTGGAGCAACAGAAAAGAGGGAAACAGCTATATGAGTTGTTCGTCAAGTTAAATAAAACTGGAGCATTCTATCTGTACTATTTTTGAAGTTATTAATTTTTAAAACGGCTCAGGTGATTTATAGACACCGCGTGTATTGTTTATACTTTACGTTCCTTTTGAAATATTCTTGGTGTTTGCAACGAACTAGTAACAAATTACTGCAGTACTTAAGATGCACAAATACTTTTGTCTCACTGTTTCCTGATGTTATACATTTGGTATATTTAACCTGAAGAGCACCATATGCAACATACAAGCTAAGTTATTAGGTCGTAAACCATAGTCATTGCCGGATCAACCAAGTATTTCTCCTGAGCCCGAAAAAAAAAAGATGGGACTCCAACCTTGTCATATATTTTTGAGATTACAACTTTTATCAGTGATCAAATTCATAAAAAACTCACCTACACGAAAATCGGTATGCTAAAACCGATAGAAATAATGAAATAAGTATTAAGCAGCCCCCCCCCAAAAAAAAGAAATGCATGGTACTTATCCCACGAATTCTTGAATAAGAGTTGTAATTAATTTTTCACCACAACGGATAAAAACTTATGAAATAATAAAAATTTAACCACAGGATTAAAAAAATGCAAACCTATAAATATGTGTATATATTCTTATGTCTACAGATTGATCGTTGCCAAACTCAGTTAAAATATAAACGTCGATTAAAAACGTTTTAGGTGAAGCCATAAAATAAAAATACTTGTGCAAGAAAGTGAATAACAAATACAGTTTTGTTTCTCTGGGTCCCCTTAGGACATGTACCCCTATGCCCAGCAGATAATCCGGCTATGCCTTACGATTTTCTTAATTTAGAACTGTTTATCAGAGGTAAGACAACCAGTCATCAGCACCCGCTGCCTATCCTTAACCGTATATCGTGATTGACTCTCTCGGGTTTTGGCTGAAACATCCCTACAGACAAAGGTGCAGAGCGACGCATTTAACAATTCATCGCATCTCCTGACATTTCAATCCGCAGCGTAGTACCGATAACTATTAGCCCAACCCTGTTCCGTTTACTACTCTATCGAGCTAGGATGGGGGCATTCCGCTTTGAGGGAAAATCTGCACTAATGAACAAATGAAATTTATAGAAAATTTACTTGTAGCTGTTCTTCCACACATTAAAAACAAAAACTTCAGAATTTAAATTTATTACACAAGAAAGTAAATTTGTTACCCCCCACAATGGCTCACCGGTAAGTCTGAAAGCTTATAACACTAAAAACCTACCTTCGATACCAGTGCTGGGCACAGCACAAATAGCTCATTGAGTAGCTTGGCGCTTAACAGCAAACAAAAAAATGCTTGAAAAACATTTTGAGTTGATATCAGCGAGCCCTGAAAGAAATCACCAGTATTGTGAATTTCCTGAAA